CACATTTATCTCAGACAGCACGTGGGTCGCGTGCTTGCTCTTGCCATAGTGTCCCAGCGTTGGAATGCGACGGAGACTTTCCAGACCTCAAGCCTCCTCTCTCACAATGAGATTCAGATAGTCTACCGTCTGCTGCGTGCCATTGTCTAAATCCGGTTGGGTTTTGAGAAATGTCATGAGAGGCTAAAACAATAACACACGTCTGACCCCCTGCTTTGGCCCCAAGCACTTGCTGCACTGTACCTTTTTGACACTGCAAAAAACAAAAAACAAAAAAGCCGTGTGACTCCACCGCATCGCACAGAACGCAGCGAAAACCGCTTTCACATTCTCCCTGCGTGCCATGAGGGACCGTGTCCATCACTACATCTCGGTGGCTACCGTGCCACCAAAGTCGTGTCCCTTGGCTTCAAATCCTCGGAACCTGAGGAGTGAGGATCAAACTCAAGGGTCCCATCCACCTGAAGCCACAAGGGGTTCCCGCCTGCCACCCACCCTGTCGAGGGTCAACTTAACAAGTCTCGCCTAACGAGAGTTGCAAAACCCGACTTCTGAACTGTAAAAGGGATTGCCAGACGCATACTTTCGCCCCCCGAGTCATCATTTATGTAAGCCCAAGAAGCTTGTTGCTTCTGTGAACTGGCTTCGAGGCTCATGGTATTACCTACGTGCCGGTTCTGCGACTCCGTCAGGGCGTACCTCAGCCCAAAAATGCGTTCTCCCGCAAACATGGGCTGAACGTCTTGCCACGAAACAAAACCAAACGAGACCATGTGGCCAGGATGGATGGATGACCACAGATGACTTTTGAACAGCTGCTTGGGCTCGTCCAAGCCACCTCCTACCCACAAGCTTTTCCAGACATTCCAGAAGGACGCCAAAACGTCTGGCACGAGATGCAATGACATCGAATGAGAAAAACTTTCCGGGCGCCGGACGAGATGCTGCTGATGCCGCCTGCCGAGCTTCCATTCGGATCACTTGCAGGGTTTGTGCACCGTTTGTCATAGCAACCTCAAGCGCGACCGCATCGTATTGGACATGACGACGTTGGATTGTTCGGTTGCCTCGTTGGCATCCGCCGTGCTATATCGCGATTCATCTTGTAACCATGCCTATTGCCTTCGCAGACCTGGGCAATCCCGTGACCACACGCCCACCGGCCCGACGTCATACCTTCACTACACATTGCTAGTAGGTTCGCCGCGCAACCCATCCCTACACGCACGAGCCCGGCACGCCGCAAGGTCCCCGCCAACCTTCCTGTGTAACCGTCGCCCGGCGACTTCGGAAGCCGCAAGCAGCAAGCCTCCCCTCGTCTGGGCCGCCTTCTCGAAAGACTTGCCAGCGTGCCACGGGAGTCTGCGATAGATAGGGGGACAGGGCCCGTGTAGGCGCCTTTCCCGTCACCCCTCAACCCTTGCTCCTCATGTCCCCAGCGGGAACACAACTTTTTCAGGAGACGCCGTTGATGACGGCCTGGTCTCCCTTGAGCTTCCCCGTGACGACGTCAACGATGGCCCGGAACGCTTCCATCTCCTCCTCCACGGAGAGGCCCATTGCCGAGCCGCCCAGGTTGATCGAGCAGCCGACGTAGACGGGCATGTTCGTGCGCTTGGCGAGCAGCTTGGCCACCCTCGTCGTGAACTCGAGCGTCGACTCCACCGAGTAGATGGCCGTCGAGATCGGTTGCGCAGGGTCCAGTCTCTGATCGCTCGTCAGTAACGATGCTCTGTTCTTTGGAGAGGGATGAGAAAATCACGTTTTGTAGGGCGTATACGAAGGAGCCCAGCGCCGCCGGCCCCGACTGCTCGCCTTGCGTCACTGAGGTGAGAAAGAGGGTTGCCGCCTTGGCCTTGGTGGTGAGGTGGATGTGGATGCGGGTGTCGAGGGAGCGGGGCAGCGGGATGGAGAGCTGCGTTATCGTGCTTTCTGACGGCATTTTGGATGTTGTTTGATATTACGGGATGAGTTGGTCATGAGTGATCTGGACGTCGATCAAGTGAGGTTGGCAATGTAAACGCCTCGATGAGCTGAGTGGACGGTTCCGTGCGGATTATCGCAGACATGCTGTTTGCACACTGTGACCTCCAACCTATCGTTTGAGACATTCAGTGCTAAAGGTCTTTACCGCCGAGCTTTGTGTAACGACCCGTAAAGACATTACTGGACCAGGCATCGCCCCACAGCACCCTACAGCTACAGGACAGGATACCTAGTACTCATCCTGTTGCACTTTGGTGCGGGTATAATATATTCACAATGCGATGATGCCCTTATCCCTAACGGACGGACAATACTTAGATAAACCATGAGGATTTCCCGTATGCTGCTTACATAAGCAAGCCAAGGGGAAACACCCCGCCATCGCACCGTGGAGTCTCCATGAGCAGTGCCCGGCCCGGAATCCATCACATGCGACCATACCCACTGGAGAACTCGGGATCCCGTCCGCTCTCCCATCGATAAACCAGCGAGGGCCGGAGTAGTAGTTGGGTCGGAGACGACCAGCGAATGCCCGGTGTTGCATGTACATTTTTGCTCCTCGGCTTTTGGAGTATTATTGGAAATTAAGTGTTCAACTGTGACGGATAGTCTTAAGGTTAAATTAGTCTATTATATAGTTAAGCATCTTCTAATAACCCTTTAGAAAAGAGGAATAGGGGTGATAAATACTCTTCTGCTTATGGGTTGTAGGCGAGACCGAGATATCTCGCTATCTATCCTATAGTTATTGCAAAGACTGCTGGAACTTAAATGCGGTGAGCGGGGTGAAAGGGGAGGGAGAACCGTGGTGTGGTGAACAAGGGCAGCTATGTAACCGGGTCCTTTTGTAACATCAAGGATGACAAAGTCATCAAAACCCCCCCACCTCACGGCGATTTCGTAGTGGTTTCTCTGTGAATTCCCCGTTGTCCTCCGGATTAATACATGGTGATTCCTCGGTCTTTTTTTAGGGATTGTTCTGCACAGTTGCTACGTGGATTCTCAGTGATTTTACCGCCATCTTTCCTGCTGCTTGGCACACCCAGAACTGAAGAGTTACTGTCGCAAGCCATCGTAACCTCCATAGTCCACGACTGCTGGCACGGGTAGTTTCACGTGCTCGGAGTATTTAGCTGGTCTTCTGCTTGGCCTAGACCAGAAGAAGGTCAGTCATGGATACATACGAATAGCTTCATCTGTTTTACTTGTCTTGTCGGTTTTCTTCACTGCTTTTATCGTCCTACCTTGCTTTCTATCTGCGTCACTTCGCGACTTTGCCGTTTGGTACGCCCGGCACCTATCCACAGTCCATTCGGCCTGCCAGTTCCGGAACAGCTGCCAGTAGAACTGTCATGACTGATCTAACAGTTAAAGAATGTGCAATATACATACTGGTGGGAAAATAAGATAGATATTATTTTAGAAGTAAATCTACATAAAATCTGTTGTTTCATCGCTTCTATGACTACCTAAAATAAACAGCATAGTCTCCTTCCTACATTCTAATATATTCTAAAGGACAGAACTTTCATCTAGCTGTTGAAGTGTAATAAAGTTAGTTGTCTACTTATTCTCTGTTGCTGTTAACTAACAAGCCAGCCCTTAAGGACACCAGCAGAGTCTGGATGCGAATCATTTTAGCCAGCTTACTCTCTTGACTAAGAGATATTGAAACTGCACGGGATTCAGCTAGATATATGGATGGAAACAACACACCAAGAAAAGCCTATTTCGCTGCTGCAGCGCACCTTGAGCCTGCCCGCCAAAAGTGACTAGACTTCACGCCCGGCCCCAAGCAACCGGTCATCAGAAAATATCTATAGGGATTTGATCAGAGTCATCCCCGAGCCTCAGATTCACCGAAGGGCTGGCACAATAGTAAGCAGTTGTTGCTCTTGTTCCTTTTGAGGATCTTGTAGTCATAGCTGGCTTGAAAAGAATGACAATAACAGCGTGTCTAGCTGATCTAGTTGTTGCTCATAAAACGCATGCTGAGTTCAGTGATAATTCCGCTAATTATGCTAGCTACTGGAATTTTCTGATAGGGCAGATATAAGCTGGAATGTCTTACTTCAACCTTGCACAACTGGACGAAATATTACTACAAATGCAGAGCGCTGTCTCTGTGTCTGTAGCGGATTGAACCCTGTCCCTTTTCAAAAAATATGTGGAAGTCAGAAAAAGCAACTTTTCTTGGATTTGATGCTTTGGGTGTGGCACTGGAGGGCTGCTCTAGGTGTAGCCCATTCCATAGCTGCCTTCTTGACAGATAGACCGCCTGCAATGGCATCAAGTGCCCGTTCGACCCCATTCCCGGTATACTGACCCATTGGATATAGAACAACGCATGAGAAAAAGAAAATGAACCGAAGAAGAAAACGAAAAGACACTTCTACAAAAGTTTTGAATGGTTGATTTTGTGGATTACGAAAATTTTGGGGTGCCCGGTGGTGAGTGGGCGGTGTTATGATGTACTATAACATGGTGTGCCGCATGTATCTTTTGATGGTGTAATCACGAACAGGCAGACACTAAAATCACAATATGTTAATCCGCCTGAGCCTCCTCCTACATGCAGCATGAATTGAGTCTGCCGCTGTAATCATGGCTTGCCGAATCGCCATTTCAATGTCATTGGGCATTACGCTTGTACATGTAGTCTCTCCACAAAGCTTGCGACTTATCAATCGTCATGATGTTATTGTTTGTAGGTTAGCAGATTAAACATCACTTTGAAGCACTAACGGCTAGGAATTCATGGGTTAAGTTCTAGGTTCTAGTATAACATGGGGTTTTTACCCCAGGTAGATAGCAAGTAAATCACACGTTCTTTGGTACAACCATGGAGATTTAGAACAGTGGATTGCATGTTGCTTAACTTCAGTAATATATCTAGGCTCTTGTGAGGTTTTATTTGCCATAACATCATCTTTTGTTCAGTCTATCATTCTATATACACTGCTACATGATTCTATATACACTGTCACTGTGACATCCTCCGCGTCTCGCATCGTCTATGCCTCAACGCCAAGAGTGATGTAAGCGAGCATGCCCTTGGTGACATCCTCGCCATCAAGCGGCTCAACAATCATGTTGGGGTTCCAGTTGCCAGCAGACTCACTAGCGAAGATGTCGTCGATGGCGTTGGTGGTGCGGTTGATCTCGGTGTGGCTGACGTAAGGCTCGAGTGCCATGATCTGCTGGCTAAGCTCTTCGTCGAAGAAGAGCTGGCCAGTGCTGACGGTGTTGGAGGCGACGATGGTACCGTTGCTGCGGACGGTCCATTCAGTGTGGACTTGGGCATGGATGTGGATGGTGCGCTCAACATAGAAGCCGGGGAAGACGGTCTTCATCTCCATGATGCCGTTGGAGTCTGTGGGCCACATACCGCGGAGCCAGGTGGTGTCGTCGGTGTGAAGGTCCAGGTTGGGGCCGATGGTGACGTTGAGCTGCTCAAGGAGCTCCTCGAAGGGGGTGTTGGGGTCCTGCATGGTAAAGGAGCTGTAGGATCCAGTCTGTTCGGTCTCAGGTTAGCAGAAGTATCTCCAGTATGTTGAATATTACACCACTCACAGCGTTGCAGTGCCAGAGGTCAACCAGAACATCCTCCATGGGCTCGCAGGTGTTGACGTTGAGAACACCGATGTCCAGGTAGAGCGGAACGCCGACCTGGCCCTCGCTCATATCCTGGCGCAGGGTTTGCGAGCGCGGCCAGACATAGGGACCTGCGGTAACCTCGGGGGTCAGGACGCAAGTGTCGTTCTGGACAGTGTTGTAGTGAGGGCCCTCGGTGTAAATGGTGACGTTGCTGTCGCGCTGAGCAACAGAGCGGCTGAGAAGTGAGCGCTTCTCAGCAGCACGCTTTTTGCGGATCTCGCTGAACTGACCGGCCTGAACGGAGCAGCGCTTCGCGAGGTTTGAGCGACGAGCAATCTCTGAATGGCTCAGGGCATCGTGGTGTCCTGGGTGGGCGGCCGTCGTGCCCAAGAGAAGGGCGGTAGCGAGGGTGAGGAGTTGAAGCTGCATGGTGCAAGTCGAGGTTGTGAAGGAATTTGTAAAGGAAATCTAACAAGAGGATTCCCGGGACCTATTCTCGAAGTCAAACTACCGTTATCTAGCTTGAGGCTATAGAGAAGCGTGATCGATTTGATGGGAGACGATCCTTCATTTATACCTTTGTCTGAACTTCCATACGTGCTTTCGCTCTCTCCCGGAAGGCAAACAATCTTCCTTGCTTCATCCCGAAAACCCCCTGATGAGGACCCAGTGAACAAGTTCGTCCCATGACGGAACCGTTTCCTTTCGCGCATTGCTCCTTCTCGTCACGCTTAGATCTATGAACTGCGAACCAAATCGCAGTTCAAGATTCGTGAACTCCACTGACGTCGGGCCAGAAGAGCTATGCCTCCCACATCCCGAAGAACCACGTCCAGATCAATTCCCCATCTGGCAGTTGTTTGCATCAAGGAAACAGGCTCAACCAATCATGGGCCAGGCATTACCTTTAAATGCCGGGGTCCGGAGCCCCGGGACCGCTACCGGCCTCCATTACCGGCGGGCCGCCAAGACATATGGCCGCGTAAGTTCAGGGGCGTTCAGACTAATCACTGCACTTCGAGTCAGCCGCGCCCGGACAACCAAGCATAACGAGTGGAGTTCAGCAGGAGACAAGGCAACCCCGATTGTATAACGGCGTCTTCCAGGTTGTCATGAGTGTGGACATGGCATTTTTCAGCGAGCAGAATGCATTATCAGATCCGCAATGGCTACAACCCAGACCGGAATGCGGGCGTTAACAACATCGGACGCTCTCCCATTTGCCAACTGATGAGAGTTTCCTCACCCGAGAGGTTTGTCTACATTGTCAACTATATCCCTCGGCTGCTGTAGCATCGACAAAGTGACCACGAATGTTGAAGGTCCACGTCGGACCCGACGACTGACCCTTAGAGATACGGCAACGTGCTACTCGTATTGGAACCCAACTATCCACTTTGGAATCACAATGCCCTGAAGCTTAATCGGCGAGTAGATTCCTTCATTGAACCATCCAGAACTCGTCGTCTAGTGAGAGAAAGATCGGCTCCATTTTCAACTGCGCATGACATGAAAGACAGCAAAGCAAAGTAGACAAATAAATACAGAAGTAGAGAGAAGAAGAAGGGAAGGGATCCCAAGCGACAGGTATAAGTAGAACATAGGGATTCGACGTTGTGGCATTGCAGCCATTATATCGAGCCAGCTACTTGTCTATAGGGTTGAATAAAGGGCAACGGTTCTACGTTATGTCTATGCCATGTAAATATACACCATCATACAAGTCAAGTTCCAGTCTGGGCTACTGAGCAAGGAATGAGAATGGCAGAACCGGTCGGAAGTCGTCTGTCAACTTGTTCGCGGCCCATCTCTTTGTAGCCAGAATCATTCAAGAGAGCGCTACTGTGGACGTGCCGAAGCATCCCCATCGGAAGCCGCCTCAGTCTCAGACGCAGAATCCATCGCCGCAACCCCATCGCTTTCCTCGATAGCGGAAGCCACTTGCCGTGGTATCCTGCTAAACACCGCGACGAACCCGCCCCCGACTACCAAGGTCCCAACCTTTGGCCTGCAAACATGGGCCCTCGCCGCTGCGCCCGACTCGCCCTCTTCGACCGCCTTGCGGATGTTCACAACCTTGACCTCCCAGTTCCGACCCCCAGTGCCGTCCCGGAACATCCCATCACCGCCAGACGTCGACGTCTGCAGCTCCACCACGCGGTCGAGCAGCAGGGGCTGGCCCGAGTCCTGGGCCCACACGACGAACTCGAGGATCTGCGTGATGGATGGGAAGAAGACGACCAGCTTCCCACCCGGCTGGAGGGCCTCGACGGCGACGTCTGCGTGCTCCTGCGACGCCGGCAGGTCCAGGATCGCGTGGGAGAGGAAGGGCTGCCCTCCGTTCCGCGACAGCCGCGACGAGAGATACGACCGGATCGTGCGCACGTGGAAGTCAACGTCGAGGAGGTACATGCCCCTCCGGAAATGCCTGACAAGGCTATGCGCTAGGCGGCTCGAAGAGGGGTTGATGTCCAGGGTGTGCAGGATCGCCCGACGGCCGGCGGCGTGCTTGTCGTGCAGCGCCGCCAGCTCCGGCTGCTCAGCAAAGTCGAGTGCGTGCGGCGAGGTGCCGTACTCTGGCGCATCGTCGTTGATCACGACCTTCCGAGGCAGGTTGTTCCGCTCGTACGGCGCCGTGCACAGCGCGTCGCGAAGCTGGGGCGGCACGGGCGGGTTTGCGCCGTGGATCGCCCTCGCGAGATAGAGCGTCAGTGCGCCCATGCCCGTGCCGGCCTCGAAGATTTCTACCGGCGGACCGGCGTCGAAGTCTGGATCCTCGCCAGGGACCGGCAGGTTCAGGTCGAGGAAAGAGACAATCAGGTTGGCGTCCTGGGGGTAGATCTGTCCATGTCCCGCGCGTTCAGCAAATTTGGGGTTTGGTGCCAGATCCGGGGGATTCGCTCATACCGGTGTCGCCACGCGTGGGGAGTTGGCAATGTACTGAGCCAGTGATGCCTCGAGAAATCGCACATTGCGGCCGCCGCTGTCACTGACCGAGTCGGTGAAGTTCTTACCGATGATGTCGGACGCGTTGACCTTTGCACCGTAGGCAAGCTTCACCGGTGCATCTGGCCGCAGAGGGGGTGATAGGTGGAACTTGGGTTCCTTGGTGCCTCGCTGGCGGAGGATGACCACATCGTGTTCTGTGCAAATGTTAGGTGATAGGTTATGGTTGTTTGGCTGAAGAGCGCACCTCTGATGGACCGGCTGGAGCTGTACAGGCGACACAGAGACCGTCTGATGCGACTCGGAAGACCCAATGGCTCGAGTCTCGGCGGCATTTCGTCATAAGCTGCTTTTTGGGCTGTTCTTGTCGTCAAAACGAACCTTGCAAGGATACTGTGAAGCTCAATGCGAAAATTTACTTTTAGCTAGATAGCTCTGTTTGATACATAACTACAAGCATGATATCTCGTTATCCACTGCTAGAGTAACATCAACTCAAGTCACCCGCAGTGCTTTACAGTGCGACGGTTCTGACCACAGCCCAAATTGCCTTCCTTTTCTTGCCCATTTGTAACAAATATGACATTCTCTATCCTGGCGATATTCATCCATGTGGACAAACGTCTGCACCAGAGCATGGGGGGAGTTGCATCCATGTGTATGGAAGTTCATCGGCAGCTGTGGTGGCAGGCTGATGGGTTTGGTGACTGAACTTCCGGTTGCCGTCAAGACTATATGTACTTGACGAGAAAGATACTCTCGAGTTTGGGATACGTAATGCCATTCTATAGAACGGGTAGTGCTGCTTGTTGTGTTACTCGCCCTTTGGCTGTATAAGCATTGCAGGAGTTTACGTCTACGGCAAACACGAATTCACAAACTCTCTTTGCACAAAAACCAAGACCACGTTTGATTAAGGGCTCTTCATCATGATAATCAAATCATCCGTTTCCGCTACTAAAAGATTGGGGGTATCTCGTGCCATGCAAAACGCTCTAAAGGACAGTCCAGACATCAAACGCATGAATCGTGTCGTACTTGTTCGTTTCCCGTCCCTCTTCCTCCCTCCACCTTTCGGGCCATAAGCCACCGCGCTTCTTCTTCATGTCTCATTGCCCCCCCCCCTTCAAACGCAATAATCCAGCGCTCCGATTGAGCGAAAAGAAGAAGAAGAAGAGAGACAACCCTAAGGAGAAGCGCAACGGCACAGCCATCACATTAGTCGCACCATGTTTCCTTTCCTTTCCAGTCCAGTCCAGTCCAGCTTTTCTTTCTGATCCAATCCACTTCCAAGATAATCCTATCGCTGCTGACGTGAAGAAAGAAAAAAACATTAAGTTTGTGCTTTTTGTGCTAGTATGTTTGAAGTGAAAAGAAAGGGAGGGGGATATTTTCCGCCTCGGCACAGCCAGCGGCCAGAATACAAGACTACGGGTTTTCATGAACCCAATACTATGAAATACATCAGTCGCCAGTGGTGGCTTGACGAGTAAATTCTAAGGAGATATGATAGTAGAGGGAACAGTGGAAGACATGCCCAAGGCGCCCAGTCAAGGGGTCAGGTCATGTCCGCCCGCAACGCCGTCCTGTGTACACCGGCTGCTATGCTTGCTGTAGAAAAGTGGGTAAGATAAATAAAATGCAGCTCAACCACACATGCTTCGCTGTTGGTGGGAGCCGGAGATGGGCTTGCGCCCTCTTTAAATCTTTGATGCGACTTCTTTCCTCTTTCGTTCCGAAACCCCGATAATGATGGCCGATGACAAAGATACATTGGGATGAGTTATGTGCGTAAGTGTGGAAAACGAGGGTGTTAGAGGAATAGCGCTGAAATTAGACAAGAATCGAAAGGTAAAAATTTCCGCAGAATCATATGCTGGCGGTTCGGGTCCGCTCGGGGACACGCGCATAGCAGACCATAAGCTTGAAGCTGGTCCGTAGTTCCTCGCATTCGGAGAGTAAAGCGCGGTCGGTCCAGATGCTCTTGCTGTTGGCCGTGCCAGCGGAACTCTCATAGCAGCGGGTGTACCACCAGCGACCAACCTTGGCCACCATCTTGGTGATGTTCTCATCCGCTGAGTCACCGTCCTCATTCATCATCTCGGCGAGGCTGCGGACTTCTTTGGACTTTCGAGAGCCAGCCACCGGAGGCTTCTTGCTACCGCTGTCTGATCGAGTGATGATGCTGGCAACTGGGACACCGACACGGCAAGTTTTGACATCGGAGAAGCCTTTGCGTCCGAGGAGACGAAGGATGAGGTCAGAAGTCGAGCCGATGCTTATCTCCGGGTTCCGTTCGTGAATTCGCTCCTTGAGACGACGAATGGTGCGGCGACCGCGGTTGCCCATGTTGTTGAGGTCGACGTCCAGGATAGAAAGTTCCAGATACCCGCCGGGCTTCAGCACGCGGCGGGCCTCTGAGACGATGTTGCGGTAATGTGACTCAGGCGCCGCGGCAGGGAAGCGGAACACCACTGAGGTAAAACTCTCCGGACCAAAGGGGAACTTGTCCGTGTGTGAGAGGTACTGGATTTGGTGATGGTTGGGTGGGCTCAGAGGGAAGCTCGATGAGCCTTTGTGCTCCTCTGGTAGTGGTGCCCGAGGCGACAAGTTGAAAAATGTAGCCGCAGGGTACGTCTCGGCTGCGTAGAAAGACCAGTCGTCGTTGCCAAGACCATCAACAACAAGAATTGAGTGACGCTTCAGAGAGCCGACGACATCCAGAAGCTGGTCCCTGGCTGGACTGAAGAGGACGTGTCCGAAGGATAACCATTTGCTGACAGTCATCGAGCCGACGCGGAGGTTGACCTGAGACAGGGGTGAGTCATCCTCAGAAGACCGGCAACTGCAATCGGACTGTCTCGACTTGCGGGATGAGCCGCTGCTCCTCTGCGATGCGGCCGTTGCCCTACGCGCCAGCTGTGTGCTCTCGCGGTCGATGACACTGGCAGGCACCTCGGCGACTGGCACGAGCGTTGTCGAGTCCTCTTCAGGCTTCAGCGCGAACGCAGCCTTGAGTCGTTCGGTCATGTCGGCACTGTAGACACTGGAGGTGGGACCACTCTTGTCGACCTCGATGGTCTTCTCTAGGGCCTTTGACGGAGGCGCGATGGTGGGAGACTCAAGAGGCTTGAGAGACCTCTTGGACATCCGGGACCCGTATGTCTCAAGATGGAAAGGAACGCCCTTTGACGAGGTTGCAGATGGCGGCACCTCGCCTATCAGGTCGTTATACTCATCCCAGATCTCATCCTCGACCAGCGGAGCATTGGGATCAGGCACAAAGGCCATAGCGTCTGCTAGAGTGTACATCCCGCAGCTGCTGGAATCGGTGCTCGTGGTACACTCCGAGTTCTTTCGGGGAGAGAATGCTAGGAATTCCTTGCCGATCTGGATCATCTCGGGAGTCTTCACCGGTACAAGAGAGGAACGAGGGTCCGAGTTGGTTTTATCGCTAGTCTCTGTAGATTCTCCCCGGGAGAGCTCGGGAGTGGACATCTCCGGCGGTGTTGGCCCCGAGGCCACGAAGTCAGGGTTGAAGCTCGCAGCCTGGGGCTGCATCTGCAAGCTGATTCTATTGAAGGGACGGGAGAAGCTCCTGGACGACGTATGTTCCGGTCTGGAGGTGACGACCTTGGGAATGCGGCCCACTTGGGGAAGACGACTGGGACGTGCTTCCGCTGGCTTCGACACGCTGGCCTGTGATGTGTGCGTTGGTTTCATAGAACGTATCGCTGGGATCGACGTCGACTTGGGGGCAGCAGTCGCCGAGTTCCTGCGAGCTTGTGATGACTTGGTTGGCTGGAGGAGTCTGCTTAAGGATTCCCTCCTCTGATTCTGGCTGGCAGAGGATGTTCGTCTTTCCTTGAATAAGGGCTGTGGAGAAGGAAGATCAAAGACCTCGGCCTCTCGAAGAATCTCCTCGACGTCTTGCGTGCCGGTGTCTTCCTGCTCAGAACCATCCATCAACGTGTAGAAAGCTGCGGGCTTGTGCTGTACGACCTTGACGGTAGCGGCCACCGGTACGGCGTCCTTCTCTTTCTTCTTGGTGTTCGGCTGACTCTGGGACCGGCTGAAGAGGTTCCACTTCCTTGGTGAGCGAGCTCGCTTGGTAAGCTTCTTTGGGGGTGTGGCGGTGGCTGCAGCGATTCGGCCACGAATAACTTCACGGTGAATTTCGAACTGAGAGTCATCTGAAAGAAGTGTCGTGTCTTGGCTGTTGATTGGCGGCGATGCGATTCCGGTGGTGTTGATGGGCTGAGGGAGCTTAAGGGGGCTTTGGTCAGGGGATGAGCGCAATCGCTGGACAGATCGTCTGAATGCCAAGGTGGACTTCATGTTGCCGGCCTCAGAATCGCTGCTATCCGATGGACGACGACTGCTCAAGGATGCATGGGGACGGCCTCGAGGGATAGCTGAGGGAGCAAGACCTCTACCCGCGCTGGAGGTCGTCGACACCTCCGAAGCATAGCCAAAACTCTGGTTACTCTCTGATCGAGTGAGGTCTACGCTCTGGTTCCTGTTCTCAATGATCTCCCCGCCGGAAATAACAACCGGATTCATTCGCTCCAGGAGGAAAGTGTCAGTGGGTTGAATACTGATCAAGCTGTCCTGCGATGATCCAGGTTCCAGGCTTGGTCGGGCCGGGTTGGTGGTTGAGCTGCCACTTTTCCGCCGGATTCCGCCGAGGCGTCCGTATCCCTCATGACCAGTGCCGGCAGCAGGGCCTTTGCGAGCGGGCTTGTCTTTCTTGTCGACCCGGGGATTTCCGGTGCTGTCTTGGAACGACGGCCGAAGAAGGGAAATCGAGAGAATGTCGATGTGTTGGGACTGGGGGTGCGGGTAACACGTCCTTCGCTCTGCTTGGTCTTGGAGGCGTTGGTCGACCGTGGGGCCGGTGTAGCTTCCCTGCCAACCGGTAGTCGAGATGATTGAGGGATGTCCGGGTAAGACAGGGGAGTTGTCGATCTCGACACAGCCTGGGGATCCGGTCCGCGTCTGTCGCCCAATAAGGAGGTAGATGACAGGTTGCTTTGGATGACAGGCCATGGACCAAACAACTGTGACTGTAAGTCCGGGGTATTGTCTCTGCTGGGCCGTGCCGGTGGTGTTGCCCTAGGTGAAGCGGCTGGTGGCACCCGTGGGGGCGATTGGACGGGTGTCGTTGTAATCATAACAGGCATGGCAGGCTCCCGGAAGGCCTTTGATGGAGATTCATCTTTGTCTTTGCTCTTGGCAAACTTCTGGGAAGACTTCCGTGGAGGCGGGCTCGGGGGCAAGGGCGACAACGTCCTCTTCTTTTTGGTGTCTTTGCGGTCGCTTTCGCGGACTGTCGAGTTGGACGAGGACGACGTTAGGGATTCGCGTACTGCAGCGAGCCCGTGAGGGTCGGCGGTAAACGCCTCCATCTCGTTTGGTATACTTCCAGCTCTTCTCCGGGAGACCGGTGGCCGTGTTACGGCAGGACTCACCTGCCTCACTCTCGGCACAGGCAGTCTCATCGGGGCGACAAGACCCGGCGACTGTGACGACATGGACGTGGGTGTCGTGTCGCGGCTGTACGGACCTGGGCTCGTCGACTCGGAGAACCTTGTCGACGGACTGGCACTGAAAGCGCTGAGTTGGCTGCTGGTGCCGGAAAACACAGGGGTCGGTGGGGGGAGATCATGTGTGGCCAACCTGTGGAGGAAGTCGGCACCCGAGCCTTCTGAAGACATGGAAGGCCGTCCACCATAGTCCCTGTATCGATCGAGTTCAGGGTAGATGGTGACGGCCTGCGCCTGTGTCTTGGGAAGATCAACAACGTGCGCGATCCGAATCTCCGTGGGGCTTTCGGTGATGCCTCGGTCAAGGTGATATCCGACAGAGGGGTCCAGGGAGGAACGAGATCGGGGGCAGATGAAGAAGAACTCGTGCGAGTCGAGTCGGTGTTCGAATCATGGCGCAGACTGGGGGTTTTTTGCGCAACGGATGACTTCTTCCTCCGCAGTACGTTAGGTTTCGGTTTAGGGGTGCTTGTCTGGGGTAGCCCAGATGTTGAGGAGCCTGACATCGTTGGGACATGGCTGAGTCTCTCGGGAGCTGTGCTGTTGGAACTCCATGACTGCGTCTGGTGGGTTAACGGAGGGCGGATGGAAGACATCGGGATAGATGGGCGGCGTGCGGAAGTAATTCGTGGTGCCTGGGCTGATGGCTTGCTCTGTGTTGGTTGTTGAATGGCGATGCGAATATTCTCCCCTTCTCTTCGGATATTCCGCGGCGTGTTCTGTGCATCTGCCCTCGTCTCCATGGAAGCGGTAGCAGCTCTTCTGGCTCGTATCGGCTCATCCGGACGGCTTGGCAAGCCTAATCCCATGCGTGGGGTTGCCATGATATCCCGGGTTGGAAGTATATACTGGGCCTGTCCACCATAATCCGATAACTTTAATGTCTCATGTCTCCGCCAGTATTACGCGTGTAGGTCTGGCCACATGTTAGCGGCGAGGTTCTCAGTGGAAAAGAATGGAGGGGGAAACAACCTAGCAGTTTGACCAAGCTTGGGTCTGGCAAGTAGATGCTCACCCGAGACCGTGTTGCTCAGGGCACAGCCTGGTGTAACGGATGAGATACCAGTCACAGAAACAGAGGATAGGATCCTCGGTCTCACCGAGGCTGATTAACAACGCACAACAACAAAGTGACGACAGTCCCAAAAAGGCTCCTCGGGCTGGGATGAGATGAAGAGTTCCAGTAAAGGAGAGTGAATAGTGTTATATGGAGAAAACAAATTGAAAGAGGCACAGCAGACGGCAGGTGAGGATTCCTCTCTGAAAGAACCAGAACGAAGTGAGTAGGAGAAGAAGAAAAAATTGTCAACACGGGATGCTGGCGCGGAAGAGGGGGATGGATTCCGGATTGTGATGGTGCGGTGCGAGATGGTGTGTTGGTGGGAGGTTGCGCGGCTGCCGTGGGAGAGCCGATTCGGCTGGGATGGTCGTAGTGGTGGTGAGGGGTTCAGAAGGGTCCTGAAATGGTGGGGGGAAGCCGCATCTAGATAGAGAGAGCAGACCTTGGCGCCTGTCAAGCAAGGTAAGCCAGCCTCTTTTGCGTGAGTCGAGAGCTGATGGTGAGATTTGCAATTGCGACTGGATTGACGCCTGGGGAAGAGTTGAGACCGTTGGGTTTAGCTCATGAGAGGGGAGGTGTAGTTGAGATAAGTGTGTGCGGAGAGGAGGAATATGGAGACGGGGGATGGAGAACGAGATCTAACGTAGTGGCAAAGAGAGGGCAGGGCAAGGAACAAGGAGCAGTGGCAGAGGCAAAAAGAAAGAGAGAAGCTACGGGTAAAGATAAGTAGCGACAACCATGCCGGGCCAAGGCAACATCAGATTGTATATAGGCCGGGCAGGACATCTGGGTATCTTGCACCTTTGGCCTGGAGCCAGTTCACTGGAACGGCGTGAATGGACGGCGTCGGCCGGCTCAAGCGGGTAGGGGTACGGCTAGCAGAAAGGGTACTTCTGCAGGAGGTCCGCAGGATGTGAGCGTGAGGCACCCTGAGTCGTAGCCAGCACAGCTCCAGGAGACAGATCAGGTGTACGTATCCATGTATCTTTCGCGTATGTCTGTATCTGTAGGTGAGAGTGGATGTCGATTGCTATTCTTTGCGCGTGGCGTCTGAACCCTTGCCTTTAGCCTTCACCACGGAGTACCCAAAGCAGGCTACACTAAGATTCCCCCTACAGTCATGGCTATGCAGCGGTCAGGAATCGGGGATCATGAGCCCAAGTCAGGTGAGCTGCTGCAACCGCCGAGAGCAGGCGCTTTGGGATTGGGCATAAGTCAACAGGGAACAGCCGCAGGAGGGAGGAGATCGGACAGCGGTTTGGGCCAGTCAATACATTGAGTCATCTCAGAAGAAAAGCGAGGGGGCCTGAAAAGGGTAATGCTGGACGCGAGCTGGGAGAGCATCGAAATGCGAACTGCTGTCGCGGTGGAAACGGACCCAGGCGGACGAGGGGCAGTGTGCAGATGGGGGACGCATAGGGGGGAGAGCATGGCCATGGGAGGGAAGAAGCAAAACAGAGGTGCAGCGGAGAGGGGCCACAGACATGGGAGCCGAGATGGAGAAAGAGACGCTGGAAGCGGCACCGACGTCGATGACAGGTCGACAACGTACAGGGTACGGAGAGTAGGCGGGGAGAGAGAGAGAGAGAGAGAGAGAGAATAGTCAAGACAGCTTCAATGGCCGCGAGGCGTACAACTGCAACTGCGCCGCCATGCGGGTAGCTTTTCTCGCCCTGGACTCTGCATACACGGCTCGTCCTATGGGAGCAGAAAAGAGCATTGAGATGGCGGCTCAACGACGCCATTGGACCGCAAACCCTTGCCTGGCCCTTGTCCGCATTCGGGTTCGTTTGCATCGTCTGGGACTCTGGGATTCTGGGGGGGGGAGAAGAATAGGGACGGATGGGGGCAGGGGATGACCAGACTTTGCCGGCACGTCGATTTCGATGTTTCCTGCTTTGGACAAACCTTGAAGAAAAAAAAATTGACAGAGAAGCGAAGGGGATGCGACATGCCCTCCCTCATCGCAGAGATGGTAGACAAGCGTGACCCAAAAAGCAGCGGGCGTGGCTGTGCATACCGCCAGTCCGTCTGCGCTACTAACGCTTCACCGACGGCGTGCGCGACCAAGTAGTTTCTTTTGGGTTGGGGCACGGGACTCGGGATGGACACTGGATGAATGGCGGGAGGCAAACGCCCAAAGCTGGCGGCTGGGAATGACCTTGGGGCGAACAAGGGAATGGCCCGCCCCGCCAGGTCGAGCGACTGAGAAAGATGGGAGGAGGGGGGATTCGGGAAGGAAGCCAGATTGTAGTCGGGTGAAGACGCAGTAAGAAGGCAAAAGTCATAAGTCTGATGTATTATTGATGCAGGGAAGCAGGGGTAACGCTGGATGTCATCGTCGAATGAACGGCGGCGGACGGGATGAGTTGAACGATTTGTTTGTCTCAATGGGAAACGAAACTGGTGTGGATTCTCCGCCGGGGAATGGAATGGACAAAGAGACGGGAGATGGCCATTACGGGAAAGGGCGCTCCAGAGCAGGCGTGGATGAAGATGCCGTCGAGCGACAAAAAGAAACAACCCCAACCTCAGGCTGGGAGGAGCACAGAGGGAAAGACGGGAATGGGAAGGAAGGCGACGGAGCACGAAGGAGGAAGGACTCGACGAGGAGGAGGAGGAGGGAGCGGACGGACGGCCCAGAAAGTGGGTCCTAGGCGCACCTGCCCAAAAACGGCTCTAGCGTGAGCGGCTTTCGGTACGTACCTGCGGGTCAGGACGGCTCAACTGGAACGTGCGCTCAACTGCTGACGGCGCGGGCGTGGGCGGGGCCAACGGTCCCCGGCTGTCTTTTTTTTTTTTAACTCTTTCCCACCACGTTTTTCTTTCGTCTTTGCGTTCAACCTAGGTACGCTCAGACTGCAGAGAGCGACCTCCTCTCTGGGACCTCCACCCATCTCCAGTCCTGGGGAGTCTATGGCCTCTCATGTCCTTGTCGCTTCAAACCTTACGCACTTAATATCCACGTTGAATACTTGACCAAGTGCCGGATGGGAGCCCTCACATACACGAGACGATACGTACGACTGACTCGGCTCTTTACTCGTGCTCTCTCTCTCTTTTGCTCCGCGCGCCCTTTCCCCTGCGTCAGTCTCGCCGCGACGCCGAAAACCGTCAACGTCGTCGAGCCGCCGACCGCCATGCGAGACAGCCCAGGGACGCTTGATTCACCAGCGTCGACGACTGTCGTCAACATGTCATCTATCAATGATCCACTGCATGTCTCACTCCAAGCCGTCCGAGAGGACAGGTTTCTGCATGTCTTACTCTCATGCCACCCTCCCTGTTGATCGCCCACGCTACCGATACGCTTGTCACACATGCCCCACCATTCCTCCAATGCCCGGCGCTTGTTTGGCGACGCCTCCATATCGTCTCGGCGGTTCATCCTGGATGACTAGAGACTTGCGGGCAGTGACCCTCAAGATGGTGTGTGAGCAGCTCTGTCGGGCTCAATATCGACAAACCTGCTCTGCAACGAACTGCAAAAGGCGCTGCTGAATCGCCGCGACGGCAACCACTCGATTTGTTTTCGAGTCTCTGCGCTTACGCCTACGAGGAACCAACAGGGAAACATTGGTTGGCACGCTCGTGCCTCGAAGGTACCCGATCGAGAGACTCGCAGGACGATCGACGGAGAAACCCCGCGACGAGGGAATAGCAGCTGTCTACTGGCTGCCAGACCTGAGCACGATAGATGACTGCAGCGAAAAGCCTCACGGACGCGTCGTCAAACCAACAACCAGGAAGCGCCACCAACAAGCATGTCGCGGTTCTCGACTCCTCGTATGTCGAATTAGGA